TCTCTCTCTCTCTCTCTCTCTCTCTCTCTCTCTCTCTCTCTCTCTCTCTCTCTCTCTCTCTCTCTCTCTCTCTCTCTCTCTATCTCTCAACAGAAAACTGTGAAATACAATGGAGGTAATAACAGCACGGTAGAGATTATTGTGTACTTTAATGTGACTGGGTAATGTAGGTTGAGTCAGTTACTTGACAAATACCATGTTGTTGAATCACTTCACTACATTTTTATGTTATAGAACATTAGATTAAAGTTACATTAAGTATGATCATACTGTACTATAGTTATTATATCTTAATGGTATATAGAAAGACATTATATGATGAAACGTTGCTGTGTACCAGCAGTGTGTATCGTTGTGTAATCTCTGTTATGTAAAGACTACAGTACTGTAGTTCATTAATCTCTGTTATGTAAAGACTACAGTACTGTAGTTCATTAATCTCTGTTATGTAAAGACTACAGTACTGTAGCTCATTAATCTCTGTTATGTAAAGACTACAGTACTGTAGTTCATTAATCTCTGTTATGTAAAGACTACAGTACTATAGTTCATTAATCTCTGTTATGTAAAGACTACAGTACTGTAGTTCATTAATCTCTGTTATGTAAAGACTACAGTACTGTAGTTCATTAATCTCTGTTATGTAAAGACTACAGTACTGTAGTTCATTAATCTCTGTTATGTAAAGACTACAGTACTGTAGTTCATTCATCTCTGTTATGTAAAGACTACAGTACTGTAGTTCATTAATCTCTGTTATGTAAAGACTACAGTACTGTAGTTCATTAATCTCTGTTATGTAAAGACTACAGTACTGTAGTTCATTCATCTCTGTTATGTAAAGTCTACAGTACTGTAGTTCATTAATCTCTGTTATGTAAAGACCACAGTACTGTAGTTCATTAATCTCTGTTATGTAAAGACTACAGTACTGTAGTTCATTAATCTCTGTTATGTAAAGACTACAGTACTGTAGTTCATTAATCTCTGTTATGTAAAGACTACAGTACTATAGTTCATTAATCTCTGTTATGTAAAGACTACAGTACTGTAGTTCATTCATCTCTGTTATGTAAAGACTACAGTACTGTAGTTCATTCATCTCTGTTATGTAAAGACTACAGTACTGTAGTTCATTCATCTCTGTTATGTAAAGACTACAGTACTGTAGTTCATTCATCTCTGTTATGTAAAGACTACAGTACTGTAGTTCATTAATCTCTGTTATGTAAAGACTACAGTACTGTAGTTCATTAATCTCTGTTATGTAAAGACTACAGTACTGTAGTTCATTCATCTCTGTTATGTAAAGACTACAGTACTGCAGTTCATTCATCTCTGTTATGTAAAGTCTACAGTACTGTAGTTCATTCATCTCTGTTATGTAAAGACTACAGTACTGTAGTTCATTAATCTCTGTTATGTAAAGACTACAGTACTGTAGTTCATTCATCTCTGTTATGTAAAGACTACAGTACTGTAGTTCATTAATCTCTGTTATGTAAAGACTACAGTACTGTAGTTCATTAATCTCTGTTATGTAAAGACTACAGTACTGTAGTTCATTAATCTCTGTTATGTAAAGACTACAGTACTGTAGTTCATTCATCTCTGTTATGTAAAGACTACAGTACTGTAGTTCATTAATCTCTGTTATGTAAAGACTACAGTACTGTAGTTCATTAATCTCTGTTATGTAAAGACTACAGTACTGTAGTTCATTCATCTCTGTTATGTAAAGACTACAGTACTGTAGTTCATTAATCTCTGTTATGTAAAGACTACAGTACTGTAGTTCATTCATCTCTGTTATGTAAAGACTACAGTACTGTAGTTCATTAATCTATGTTATGTAAAGACTACAGTACTGTAGTTCATTCATCTCTGTTATGTAAAGACTACAGTACTGTAGTTCATTCATCTCTGTTATGTAAAGACTACAGTACTGTAGTTCATTCATCTCTGTTATGTAAAGACTACAGTACTGTAGTTCATTAATCTCTGTTATGTAAAAGACTACAGTACTGTAGTTCATTAATCTCTGTTATGTAAAAGACTACAGTACTGTAGTTCATTCATCTCTGTTAATGTAGCAGTCGCTGACAATGTTTGGACCTGCTTTGTGTTACAAAGGTACACACACACACACACACGCATGCATACACACACGCTTGCACGCACACACACATGCATGTGCACGTACGCACGTGCACACACACACACACACACAGAGGTCTTAGCAGGAGCAGCAGGGGATCTGAGTTGTGGAGGTTTAGGGGGAACAGAGGCTCCTTGGTTTTAATGAGGTCAACAATAGCAGCATTCACACAAACACACACACACACAAACACATACACACAAACAAACACACACACACACACACACGTCAGTCTGTCAGTCTGTCAGTCTGTCTACTCCTGCTCCTGCCCTTGTATCTGGACTGATAAGATGGCAGTCTCAGCAGCGATGTCACAGAGGTGCTAGGGTGAGGATTACTCAGTATGATGCAGATTAGAGAGAGAGAGAGAGAGAGAGAGAGAGAGAGAGAGAGAGAGAGAGAGAGAGAGAGAGAGAGAGAGAGGGAGAGGATGAGGAGGATGGAGGAAGAGACCGGGAGACGATAGAGAGAGAGAGAGAACAAACACCATTGTAAATACAACCCATATTTATGTTTATTTATTTTCCCATTTGTACTTTAACATTGCACATTGCACATTGTTACAACACTGTATATATACATAATATGACATTTGAAATGTCTTTATTCTTTTGAAACTTCTGAGTGTAATGTTTACTGTTAATATTTATTGTTTATTTCACTTTTGTTTACTATCTACTTCACTTGCTTTGGCAATGTTAACACACGTTTCCCATGCCAATAAAGCCCTTAAATTGAATTGAAATTGAAATTGAGAGAGAGAGAGAGAGCTTCTGTTGTTTAGAACAGTAGATCTGAATCAGAGCCATGTAGTCTGAGGTGTAGCTACGGTGCCTTTGACATTATGGGGTATTGTGTGTGTAGGCCAGTGACAAAATCTAAATGTAATGTATTTTAAATTCAGGCTGTGACAAAACAAAATGCGGAAAGAGTCAAGGGGTGTGAATACCTTCTGAAGGCACTGTATGCAGTGGCATTGGTTGACCTGGTGTGTGTGTGTGTGTGTGTTGTGTCTGTTGTGGAAAATAAACACCATACTTTATTTAAAATAAGGTCTTACAGAGTTTTTGTTGCATCAAGAAATTACTTTATTAAAGTTTTCAACAAAGCCGATACCCGTCTGCAGAGGGGCACCCATTCTTAAGGTCTCCCTCCATCTTATATAGTCCTCTTCAGTTTTCCCGCTCTTTTATTGCTCCGCCCACTTCCTTTGTCCCTGAGGACGGCTGAACTATTACTCCAACCAATCACCCGCTCCCCTGTACCTCACCCCCTCAACCTGTAATCAATCAAGAAGATACCAAGGAGACAAAGGTCTAGCCCAAACTCTATTCAACCCTGGTGCCGCTCCTCTTCACTGTGTTTGAAGAGAGAGACAAAAACAAACGGCCCAATTCAGTTAGCCACAAAGAATTTTAACTATATGTTCATGATTAACTCAATTTCATCTGATAATCCATTAAAAATACACATCACATCAGGAGGAAAAGTATATGGATATATTGAAGTTGAAGTTAAAGCTTGGTCGCAAATGGGTCTTCCAAATGGACAATGACCCCAAGCATACTTCCAAAGTTGTGGCTAAATGGCTTAAGGACAACAAAGTCAAGATATTAGAGTGGCCATCACAAAGCCCTGACCTCAATCCTATAGAAAATGTGTGGGCAGAACTGAAAAAGCGTGTGCGAGCAAGGAGGCCTACAAACCTGACTCAGTTACACTAGCTCTGTCAGGAGGAATGGGCCAAAATTCACCCAACTTATTGTGGGAAACTTGTTGAATGCTACCCGAAACGTTTGACCCAAGTTAAACAATTTAAAGGCAACGCTACCAAATACTCATTGAGTGTATGTAAACTTCTGACCCACTGGGAATGTGATGAAAGAAATAAAAGCTGAAATAAATAATTCTCTCTACTATTATTCTGACATTTCACATTCTTAAAATAAAGTGGTGATCCTAACTGACCTAAGACAGGGAATCTTTACTAGGATTAAATGTCAGGAATTGTGAAAAACTGAGTTTAAATGTATTTTGCTAAGGTGTATGTAAACTTCCGACTTCAACTGTATATCGACCAGAACAGATACCACATGATAAAAGCAACTCCGCACTGCCCTTCACAAAATAAGAGTTTTATGGAAACTAATATGGTAGGATTATACAGCAACCTCACTTCTTATACTTGAAACTCTCTCACACATGCAACTAACACAATCGCATGAAGATAAGCAAGTCATAAACTCTGTGTTGTCAGGAAGCAGCAGAGAGAGAGAGAGAGAGAGAGAGAGAGAGAGAGAGAGAGAGAGAGAGAGAGAGAGAGAGAGAGAGAGAGAGAGAGAGAGAGAGAGAGAGAGATAGAGAGTATAACTGTGCAGTGGTCTAACAGGCAGTGTGACACAGTGACAGATCTAACCATATTCAGCTTAGTCTCCTCCCTCCCTCTCTCTCACTCTCTCCCCCTCCCTCTCTCTCTCCTCCCCCCTCTGTCTCCCTCTCCCTCTCTCCCCCCTCCCTCCCTCTCTCCTCCCCCTCCCTCTCTCTCTCTCCTACCCCTCCCTCTCTCCCTCTCCTCCCCCTCCCTCTCTCCCCCCTCCCTCCCTCTCTCCTCCCCCTCTCCATGTCCAGCCTATATCTGCTCTTCATAGAGCTCCACCTCACAACCCAGACTGACTCACATAGAGCAATACAACATATCACCAAGACTGTGACAATCTATTTCTACACAGTACTGTATCACTCCACAGGCTACCAGTGGACTGTCTGTCTGTCTAGCAACTGTCTACTTCCCTTAGCCTGGCTGCTGAAGGGCTACTGTAAGCCCTGTGGACTGTGGGACTAGCTGTGCTGGTTCGTTGGATATTGGTCTCTTTCTTTAGTGCATAACTGTATGGATTAACTGCTGTTCTGTACCATGGCGTTCCTGACACTCCGGGAGGATTTCAACCCTGGTAAGAGAGATAGATGGCTGGGGGGGGGGGGGTTGATATAATGACTTGATTTGACTTGCACATAACGTTACTGAATAAGTTGAACAAGGCAGAAGAACAGTAGAAGTGCAGAGTGAGGAACTGGTTGAAGTGTTCTATGGGCATGTAGGAGAGTCTAAGAGACATGACAGGTGTGTTCTATGGGCATGTAGGAGAGTCTAAGAGACATGACAGGTGTGTTGGCTGGGCAAGTGGCTGTGACTGTCTGTTTCAGCCAATAGCAATTTAGTTTTTGACGATTTCTCTCTCTTTCTCTCTCTCTCTGTGGTGAGATATGGTGAGCTGGAAGCATGAGTAGAGGCTGAGGCAGACAGACAGGCAGACAGGCAGACAGGCAGACAGGCAGGCAGACAGGCAAACAGAAAGACAGACAGGCAGGCAGGCAGGCAGGAAGGCAGGCAGGCAGGCAGACAGGCAGACAGACAGGCAGACAGGCAGACAGACAGACAGACAGGCAGACAGGCAGACAGACAGGCAGACAGAAAGACAGACAGACAGACAGGCAGACAGACAGAAAGACAGGCAGGCAGACAGACAGACAGACAGACAGACAGACAGACAGACAGACAGACAGACAGGCAGGCAGGAAGGCAGGCAGGCAGGCAGACAGGCAGACAGGCAGGCAGGCAGACAGGCAAACAGAAAGACAGACAGGCAGGCAGGCAGGCAGGAAGGCAGGCAGGCAGGCAGGCAGACAGGCAGACAGACAGGCAGACAGGCAGACAGACAGACAGACAGGCAGACAGGCAGACAGGCAGACAGGCAGACAGGCAGACAGACAGGCAGACAGGCAGACAGAAAGACAGACAGACAGACAGGCAGACAGACAGAAAGACAGGCAGGCAGACAGACAGACAGACAGACAGACAGACAGACAGACAGACAGACAGACAGAAAGACAGGCAGGCAGGCAGGCAGGCAGACAGACAGACAGACAGACAGACAGACAGACAGACAGACAGACAGACAGACAGACAGACAGACAGACAGACAGACAGACAGACAGACAGACAGACAGACAGACAGACAGACAGACAGACAGACAGACAGACAGACAGACAGACAGACAGACAGACAGACAGACAGACAGACAGGCAGGCAGGCAGGCAGACAGGCAGACAGGCAGACAGGCAGGCTTGTGAGAAGCTTCCCTTGATTATTCCCGGTGTCATCATCACAGCAGCAGAGCGGCAGACGGATGTAAACAGAATTTTCACATCTCCTTGGAGACACGGCAGTCAGAACCACTCTGCACACTCTGAGGACAGAGAACATTCTGTGCAGAGGAAATAACACTGGAATGATGTCCCAAATGGCACCATATTCCATACATAGGGCATAGGGGTGCCATTTGGGCCGCATCCTGGGACTCCTGAGAGGGGTTTCTCAGCCGTAAAGCACATCGATACAAAGGGGTTCTGTAGTAACAGTGTAGACACAGGTTTGTTGTCACTATGTGCATGATGATAGAGTTTCAGTTTGATATCAAAGTCACAGCAGGGTTGTTTTGTCAAATACAGCTCCCACTATCAATGGTACTACTTCCTACTGACCATCTGAGTAGTAACATGGCTTCAGTTTCAACATTAGTTACATAAGCTAGTGTGATTGGTATCCTACGACTTTAGCTCCCCTCAGCATGTTGACACAATCATGTACAATATGAGAGGGAGTCAAAAGGGCCTCATCAAATGATACTGTAGACTGACCTTGCAAATAGAGGAGAGGAGGAGGAGAGGGGGAGGAGAGGAGGAGGAGAGGGGAGGAGAGGAGGAGGAGAGGAGGAGGAGAGGGGAGAGGAGAGGAGGAGGAGAGGGAGGAGGAGAGGAGGAGGAGAGGAGGAGGAGAGGAGAGGGAGAAGAGGGGGGGGGGGGGGAGGAGAGGAGGAGGAGAGGAGGAGGAGGGGGGGAGGAGAGGGAGGAGGAGAGGGGGGAGGAGAGGGAGGAGGAGGGGGGGGGGGGGTAAAGTGTGAGGACTCTACTACACTGGGACATTTTCAGCAACTTTGATTGACCTATGTCATAGTTATTGATCTATGTATTACTATAGCGATTGATTTACAGTCGTGGTCAAAAGTTTTGAGAATGACACAAGTATTGGTCTTCACAAATTCGCTGCTTCAGTGTTATGAGATATTTTTGTCAGATGTTACTATGGTATACTGAAGTATAATTACAAGCATTCCATAAGTGTCAAAGGCTTTTATTGACAATTACATTAAGTTTATGCAAAGAGTCAATATTTGCAGTGTTGACTCTTCTTTTTCAAGACCTCTGCAATCCACCCTGGCATGCTGTCAATTAACTTCTGGGCCACATCCTGACTAATGGCAGCCCATTCTTGCATAATCAATGCTTGGAGTTTGTCAGAATTTGTGGGGTTTTGTTTGTCCACCCGCCTCTTGAGGATCGACCACAAGTTCTCAATGGGATTAAGGTCTGGGGAGTTTCCTGGCCATGGACCCAAAATGTCGATGTTTTGTTCCCCGAGCCACCTTATGGCAAGGTGCTCCATCATGCTGGAAAAGGCATTGGTCATCACCAAACTGTTCTTGGATGGTTGGGAGAAGTTGCTCTTGGAGGATGTGTTGGTACCATTCTTTATTCATGGCTGTGTTCTTAGGCAAAATTGTGAGTGAGCCCACTCCCTTGGCTGAGAAGCAACCCCACACATGAATGGTCTCAGGATGCTTTACTGTTGTCATGACACAGGACTGATGGTAGCGCTCACCTTGTCTTCTCCGGACAAGGTGTTTTCCGGATGCCCCAAACAATCGGAAAGGGGATTCATCAGAGAAAATGACTTTACCCCAGTCCTCAGCAGTCCAATCCCTGTAGCTTTTGCAGAATATCAGTCTGTCCCTGATGTTTTTCCTGGAGAGAAGTGGCTTCTTTGCTGCCCTTCTTGACACCAGGCCATCCTCCAAAAGTCTTCGCCTCACTGTGCGTGCTGATGCACTACTCACACCTGCCTGTTACCATTCCTGAGCAAGCTCTGCACTGGTGGTGCCCTGATCCCACAGCTGAATCAACTTTAGGAGACGGTCCTGGCGCTTGCTGGACTTTCTTGGGCACCCTGACACCTTCTTCACAACAATTGAACCTCTCTCCTTGAAGTTCTTGATGATCCGATAAATGGTTGATTTAGGTGCAATCTTACTAGCAGCAATATCCTTGCCTGTGAAGCCCTTTTTGTGCAAAGCAATGATGAAGGCATGTTTCCTTGCAGGTAACCATGGTTAACAGAGGAAGAACAATGATTTCAAGCACCACCCTCCTTTTAAAGCTTCCAGTCTGTTATTCTAACTCAATCAGCATGACCGAGTGATCTCCAGCCTTGTCCTCATCAACACTCTCACCTGTGTTAACGAGAGAATCACTGACATGTTGGCAGCTGGTCCTTTTGTGGCAGGGCTGAAATGCAGTGGAAATGTTTTTGGGGGATTAAGTTCATTTTCATGGCAAAGAGGGACTTTGCAATTAATTGCAATTCATCTGATTACTCTTCATTACATTCTGGAGTATATGCAAATTGCCATCATCAAAACTGAGGCAGCAGACTTTGTGAAAATTAGTATTTGTGCCATTCTCAAAACTTTTGACCACGACTGTATATATTACTGTGGTTATTGATCTATGTCTGACTGTAGTTATTGATCTATGTCTGACTGTAGTTATTGATCTATGTATTGATTTTAGTTATTGATCTATGTATTTCTGTAGTTATTGATCTATGTCGTTCTGTAGTGATTGATCTGTCTGACTGTAGTTATTGATCTGTCTTACTGTAGTTATTGATCTGTCTTACTGTAGTTATTGATCTGTCTTACTGTAGTTATTGATCTATTTCTGACTGTAGTTTCAGAAAAGTCCTGCAACCTTCATGACAGCTAGGCCCAAGTCCAACCTTACAACATAACATGGTGATACGACACTAATGAAGAAACCTGGTGTGTGTGTATGTGTGTGTGTGTGTGTGTGTGTGTGTGTGTGTGTGTGTGTGTGTGTGTGTGTGTGTGTGTGTGTGTGTGTGTGTGTGTGTGTGTGTGTGTGTGTGTGTGTGTGTTTGTGTGTGTGTGTGTGCATAGGCTATTTGTAGCATTGGTCAGAAATCCATTCAGCTATTTTCCTTTTCCCCTTTATATGGAACAGAGGTAGAGAACACTGAGCTGATCTGTAGCCTGCTCCTTTATATGGAACAGAGGTAGAGAACACTGAGCTGATCTGTAGCCTGCTCCTTTATATGGAACAGAGGTAGAGAACACTGAGCTGATCTGTAGCCTGCTCCTTTATATGGAACAGAGGTAGAGAACACTGAGCTGATCTGTAGCCTGCTCCTTTACATGGAACAGAGGTAGAGAACACTGAGCTGATCTGTAGCCTGCTCCTTTATATAGAACAGAGGTAGAGAACACTGAGCTGATCTGTAGCCTGCTCCTTTATATGGAACAGAGGTAGAGAACACTGAGCTGATCTGTAGCCTGCTCCTTTACATGGAACAGAGGTAGAGAACACTGAGCTGATCTGTAGCCTGCTCCTTTATATGGAACAGAGGTAGAGAACACTGAGCTGATCTGTAGCCTGCTCCTTTATATGGAACAGAAGTAGAGAACACTGAGCTGATCTGTAGCCTGCTCCTTTATATGGAACAGAGGTAGAGAACACTGAGCTGACCTGTAGCCTGCTCCTTTATATGGAACAGAGGTAGAGAACACTGAGCTGACCTGTAGCCTGCTCCTTTATATGGAACAGAGGTAGAGAACACTGAGCTGACCTGTAGCCTGCTCCTTTATATGGAACAGAGGTAGAGAACACTGAGCTGACCTGTAGCCTGCTCCTTTATATGGAACAGA